TGAACAAGTCATAGGTGCATAGATATAATGACTTTGACGCTTATTAAACAATAAAATTAGTTTTTTTAATTACTAGAAATGTTTTACGATTTCTCACATTCATAATCTCATTAGGGATCTATAATCTATATCCGATCTAATGACTTCTGACTTTATAGGTCACTTAGTTATAAGTACTACTAAATAATTCTGAATTAGTCTTTTATATATACTGATATAGCCTATAATGTACTGTCTTTCTACTTATTGCCATGCAAGTTAGATCTAGCCTTAGAAAAAAACGGATCATTATCACTTATGGAAAACAGATAATTAGTAGGAGATAAATATGTTTATTTTGTAATAACTTTAAATTTTTCAAAGACTATGTTAAAATCATTGATTTCACCAATATTAAGTTCATGAACTAAGCTTAATCAATAAACATAATTTGTTTCATGAGTTTTAGATGTTCATTGGTCAACAAAAAAAAGCAACTGACATTTCAACTTTCTGCTTTCAGTGCAATCTGATGTAAATGATATTGACATTTTTAACATAAACAAATGACAATATGATATCACCTCATGTTTAAAAGGTGTAATTTGAAAAAAAATCACTTGTTCATTACATATATCTTAGAAAAGTTACGTTTATTCAGAAAATCAAACTTATTTATAACTTGGTACTTTATTATTACTTCACCACAATCACTTATATATATATACCATGATTTATCGGTTAGCCTTATAATTTAATGAGAAATTAATAATATTTTTTGGATCATGATTATCCCTTTGACAGTTAGGTCAGATTAGGACACTTATTATGCTTGAATAGAGATAGTTTCATTTATTCAATTGTAGATCAGTGTTTTAATTTTAATAACCTCTTTATCGGTTATACATACCGTATATATATATCTATATTAGCGCAAATGTGATTAATATAACTATATGTACTACTTTCAATTATCTAACTTTCTCTAGTTAAAACAAACTTAATGAATAAATTGTTAATTGGTTTTTCTTATTCTTGCAATCATCAGATGAAGTAGTATGATAGTTAATATAATCATTAATTCTTGTTATCTTTTATTAAAATAAAAATATTGTTCTTGAGCATTTCCAACAACAGATTTTGTCACTGTTCCTAATACTGGTGATAGTAGTAGTAGTAGTATTTTTATTTGATGTAGTTTGTCTAACATCTGAAAAAATTTCAACTCTATTCTATCGATACTATATTCAATACAGATAATAATATCACTAATAGTACCCACTTCTTCTAATTCCCCTATCTCTTATATGTGCTATTGTCATTTCCTTATTTGCTGTTTGCTTTTTTCGGTTTATACAAATGCTTATTTGATTGGTTTTTGGATGAGATTAACGTGAATATGTGATTAAGCAATTTCTTGATAATACTTCTAATATATAAGTGTTATCACTGGGTAGGCTTACTGAGAATAAAGTTTTTGTAGACATATAGAAAATGTAGTTTATTGTTGTAAAGTAAAATAATGAACAATCATTGTATCGCCTAATAAATGTTAGGCAAAATACATTGTGATGAGTTCAACTGTACACTTGAACTATAAGAATTTTAAATCGAAAAAATTCATTAGAGTGTTTCAAATATTCAGTAATGCTACTTAGTATTCTGTAGTGAAGAACAGACATTTTGTGGATTGAAAAGCATCTACTTGATGGTTTTCTAATGACTTATTAGTTAGTCTATAAAGTTTCATTTCACTGATCACTGATTGTAGGTTTATGCTAGAGGATGATCACGTATTAATCTATTTGAACAATTGTAACGACAAATTTCCTCTTGCTTAAAATATTTCTGCTACTCAAACACTCGATGATGACTGCTTCTTCAATGGATTTCTAAGATTAGAGAAAAAGCGTAAAGTAGGAACGGAACCTTTAATTCATATTGCATTTCTGTACAGAAAACAATAGTATTTTCCGGTTGAAAATAACAATTTTTCCCCGGAAACTTGTGGATCTATGCTAAATTTTGTATTCTAATAAGTAATCGCCCAATCGCAGTGTGACAGATAATCCATCAGTGTTCTAGAATTTTTCATGCTGTGTGCTAATTGAACGATATATTCTCAGATTTTCCCAGGCTTCCGAAGACATCATCAAAGAATTATCGAAGGATCCCTGTATTTTTGACAGGTAGTAAACGATAAAATACTCTAAAATCTCTTTATAGATCCTTTTATATGCTGTATTGAGTGAATTTTAACATTTATAAATTCCAGGTTTTAATTTGTTTTGTTGTGTAAAGACCATACTAGAAGCTATAGCTCGTTTACACGTTTTTCAATACTTCTCATACTGTTTAAGTAGACCACATCAACCAACAAGTTACAGATTTAACTATTTCGTCTTCTCCGAGTTTTGTCTTTCATTTATTACAAATGCTCAGAAAAATGACTATTACAGTGGTAGCTCGATCGTAACTTCCTTTTACAATATAAATATATACATATGGTTGAATTAAATGAAAATCCTCAAATACTAGTTCGTTTTATATGGAGAAAGATAGGTATTAAGATCACATTTCCTGCTTGTTGTTGCGATAGTACTTATCAGAGAAAATACGAAATTCCCCCTTCCCTTTCCTCCCTCTCTCTTTATATATATATATATATATATATATATATATATATTGAAAAAAGTATACCGAACGAATAATCATACAATACTTATCAATGTGACTTATTTTCATATATATCGTTTGAGCTCATTGCCCGTTGATTTTTCTTAACTAAAAAAGTTCAAGTAAATATTATCGAACTCGTCAGTATGACACTCATCAGAAGTCAGTAATGTCTTACATACTTAAGTAAATAACGTATTTTCTTCTGTCAACCTGTCTACATTTTAACCGATATGAATGTTCAGTATAGATTAGTAGCTTGAGATAGATATCATGAAATTCATAAGTTTAAAAAAATTACTTGATCATCATCAATAATAATAAACTTCAATTAGTTTTTAATACATTTCGCTCTTAATAGAACATGAAAATCTTTTGTAGAATATACATACGTATTTAATTATAGTTGATTTTGAACCATGATTTTGGTTGTTATCCAATTTCGGTCAATTAGACTACCAATTCGAAAAGATCACCAAAAAATATCGTGAAATTACCATAATGATTTAATTAATAGATTGTTTTTTCACAAAATATTTTACTCGATTGTATTATACTAGCTTTTCCTACTTTGCTATGATTACTTACTTGCATACTCACCCCCATCCATCAGTATTCTCTATTGGACTTTGTTCTGAGCGATCTTTTTTAGTTGTTTCTAGTTTCTATTTGTTCTTTTCATGTCAGATGCCAATTCTCGACTCAGTGTGTTCTTTAGTCTTCATGTTTTCCTTCCGCTTTGGGATTCCAAGTTAGCGCTTGCCTCATGATGCAGTTTGGTGATTCCCTTAATGTATATTCTATCCACATCTAACGTCCTTTACTAATTTCTTTTTTAGCAGGAAGTTAATTTGTTTTCTCCCAAAGTAGGCTGTTTCTGATGGTTTCTGACCAATAGACATTGAGTGTCTTATGTCGACAACTGTTTATAAATGCTTGTACATTTTTGATGACGATTGTTTTAGTTCTCGAAGTTTCAGCTCTGTATAGCATCACTGTCTTCAAATTAATTATTCTAAAATTCATGGATTACAGAAAAGCATAGAAAATAAATTTTCATTTTAGTTGAAAAAATAGAAAATTTATGATAAATGAAACTTATAACAGGTCAGATAACTGTAAAATATTTTACGATTAAGGGTTTGATTTAATACCATATATCGTTGAAACAATATTGAGTCACTTAATGTTTCATATTACGTAATGTTTTATTATATTTGAACTAATCTCAGTAACTAGAATTTATCAGGACTTCTTCATGAAAAAACAAATAATGACTGATATATATTTGTCGTTCAGGATCTGTTAAATAATTCGTTTACGTAACATATTTTGTTTAAATAAATTCCTCTAATAAGCGTTATATATATAATTCTTATATATTTAACGGTTACCATATAGCTACTATGGCGAGACTCTGATTTATGGACGAGCCAGTCAGAGTCGTTTTAAAGATTTCAAGGTTACGGCGCCAACTTCAGTGCTTAATGCTAACGTACGATAGGTTTACAAGTAATTTTGTACAAAACGGGATAATTGAGCGGCTATAACAAATGAATAGGCGAGACTATAATTTGTGAACGAATCAATCAAGTATAACAGATCTCGGATTTTAACGTGAAACCCTTTCATCCATTTGGCTAAATAAAATTCCGGCGTTATAGCTGATGTCAGTTCGTGATGAAAACCTCATATATAATTCCTAACTGAGGCAAATTATGACAATTATTGCGAACTGGATAATAAAAGCACAAGTCACACTGGCTGCAGCCGGATACTACAATATATACGGATGTTTGGACAGCATGCATCGTGTCGTTATTCACAAGTAGCATTTTGTGCACTCAACAACCGGAGTGCACATAAACAATATTGAAGCTATGTGGTCGAGGCTGAGAGTGTTTTTGAGACTTTATTATGGCTCCAGATGTCGACTATTCTGTAGCCGTATGGATGATTTACTCTACTGCATGCATTACAATTTAAGAACCTCTGAACCTCTTTCTAACTTTGACAAGTTTTTGAACGACGTATAAGAAGTGTATCTACTTTATTTTCTTGGTTTTCTATAATATATTTTTACTCTATACTAAGTGTTTTCTGTATGACTAATATTCTCAAGGTCACTTAAAATTCGTCCAAAGGTCGTCCATAAATTAGAGTCTCACCGCTATTATTTCATTGTACCCTCAACTAAAATATGATTAAATGAATTGATCAGGTTATTGAATATAAATCTGTACACAGCCATTTAATAAAAAGTTAATAATAAAATTCTTATTAACATCTTGAAAAAAATTTTTTTATTAAAAGAATGATTTTTTTGTTTTAATTTTTTATTTTAGATATAAAAAAAATATTTTTTGAAAAAAAATCAAAGACTGAAGTTTTGGGAATTTTCGTCTACGGTTTTTTTCCACTTTATACAATAAATTATTTGAATAAATTAAAATATAATGGATAATTTAAATGGATCAATTGAAAATACAACAATAAATATTACGGATGATATTGATTTACCTGGTCTACGTGTACCTGATATGAAACGTATTAAAAATGCACGTAAAGAACGTGCAAATCAATTAAAAGAATGGCAAATTTATGATAAAAAAATGCAAAAAGAATCAGAAAAATTACAAAAAAAAGGATTATCTCCATTAAATGATAGAAGACATTATAATTCTAATAGAGTTGTAAAATTTCCTCAAAGTTTAATATTTTTAGAAGCTGCTGCACGAGGAGATCTAGATGAAGGTAAGTGTTATTAGAGAATATTATCTATTTAAACATAATTTACTCCTTTATGTACTTAATCATTTTGTAAAACTATAAATAATGGAGATTTGTGTAGATTATCCAGTTAGGACAAACTGAAAATCCGGGATGATGATTTAGCAATATCTTAAAATTGACTGAGATCAAAAGTATAACTTACAAGATCTCAACACAGTGGCCTAAAAATAATTCACTTAACATGAGTGTTGAAGGTCTTGAATCTGTTCCCCAGTGGTGTACATGAGTCTTAACAGCTAACCTGCTCGTACTGAAATGAAACAGTTATTAAATTTTTCCTGATATTCAATGGCTGATTCATCAAAATCAATTCGCAAGATTTGGTAGAAAATGTATATCCTGATGAACATTTGTTTTAATTTAGTTGTACAATATCAATTTTGTTTTCTTATTTTTCAAGATTTTGTTGAATGTCACAATTCTATATTGATTTTTAGATAAATGAAATGTCATATACATTTACGTGGTAATTTATAGCCAGTGATTATTATTATGTTCTTGTAAACCTTGTAACTAAGGCACTGATCATTAAATTATATTAGTTCAATATTATGAAAATTTTACAAATGGTTTATTGATCAGTTGATATTATTAGCAATCCTATATTTAGTGTATTTCTTTATTGGTACCTATCCACAGTAATAAAAATAATTTTATCTTCTAAGAGATGTTATCATGATTATTATAGGATCTTTATTGGTTTTCAATGTTTCAGTAATTTATTGCTCTTCAAAGACATAAATTTATTTAAATATTTAGTTAGTAATATTCATCGAAAAATATAGTTTCATATTTTTAAAAAGTAATAAAGTATAATGTACTTGTTTAATATCGATTAACCCAGCAGAATGTCGTAGAGATGCGTTTTATCAAAACGATCAATAATTGAAGCTAGACCACCGTGGGAAACCTGGAAGAACTGGACGGTTGTTTTATCCTAGCACGGGATTTCTCAGCGGTGTGCATTTACGATCCCGCCCCGCGAGATTCGTTCGCGCGTGAGACTGGTAAGTCCTGGATTTGAATCTCACAAGGAAGGGTCGTGGATGTGCACTGCTGAGGAGTCTCACAATAAGACGTAACGGCCGTCCAGTGCTTTCAGGTTTTCGATGATGGTCTAGCTTCAATTGACTCATGAATTCAATTATTAAGTTACTACGATCTCCACAAAACCCCTCTCCGACTATTGTTTTCACGAGTTTAGGACTTGAAAAAAACAAGGGTTTATTATTTTTGTGAATAATGTCAACATGTTTCATGAATTTTTTTCGCCTATTCGTTATGAAGGTTGATTCTTTTTTTAGATGTTTAAATAAAATTGTAACTGATTGAGATAGAATTTATGAACGTGATCATTTGATAATTCGAAGAGAATGTTTAAATGTAATTTAAGTCCATAAATTTAAAAAAAATAATCAACTATAAAGTTCTAAAGTGATTAAATATATTTCAATTTAATGCTCACATGATTACTGTATTAGAAGCTGTTAATATTGTGAATTACTACAAAGATCATCAAATTTATCTTTATCAAAGTATTCAATAAATAACTGACTTTTCTTATGTAATATTTCATTCTTGGAAAATGATGGTTCCATAGTGAAACTTTCATTGTTTGTTTAGACAGAGTAAACATAGTTTATGATGATAATGATGAGAATCAAAGTCTCACAAATAAATCATCTGATTTTGAAAAACAAACACTTTTTTTTTACTGAATATATTTCCAGGAATTGATTGACACCTTGGAAAACAAAACGAAGTTTATCTGCCAACTAACTTAGTAATATAAACGAATGATATATTTTGATACATTTTTACAACTATTTGTAATCCTAATGTAGTTGGTTAAACTCCTATGTTCTCTTTTTTTTCTTATTTAACGTCCTAAAATAGTTTTATTGTATTTTAGCAATAATCCTTTCTTCCATGGTTATAGAACTACCAATCGAAACAACTATTGGAAATTCTTTTTTAAAAAATGTGTAGTTACATTCGTTATTAATGATTCCCTTTTTTTTAACGTAAACACTTTGCTAATATTTGGAAATAATTAAACCTGTTAGTTTCCATGTAATTGAACAGAAAGTAAAAAACGTGCAAAGAATTTATCGTATTCGGCAAATATTGTTGTTTCTACTTTGTTCAAATATGGAAAGGGGAATCAAATGCATGAAACTATTATAATCTTTCTGCTCCTTTTATGAAACACGTTTTCTTCAAAACCATGTATACTGTTTTGTTACTTTTCGTTAGGTACGATCCATTATTACCACGTATATTAAAGTAAATACAGATATATAGAGATGTATTTCATTAGACTATGGTTTTAAAACATAAATCATAGATTAGATATTTCTATATAGGAATAATAAACGTCATATGGTATCGTATGAGATGGTACTTATTTAGTTGAACAATTCGTTAATATGATCTCAACAACGATCAAGAATTCAATATTTAACAAATCTATTAAATCAGACTAAAATTCAAACATTTTATTGTTTTCATTCCTATGTAATTTAGTGTAACTTAATATGTTTAGAAAATTCACCCAAAATAAGTAAGTGATAATCTATTTGAATTTCAAGCACAGTTACTAACGTTAAAAGTCTAATTATCTTTAGATGATGTAAGCCTATATCTTCATATTATTTGAAATAAGATAATTGTGGAATGTTGACGAACTACATTTTAAATTGCACCTTTGGATTCAACTTCCATGTTCAAAATGATAGTATATATATTGTGAAGTAAATTTTAAAATAGTAAATCAACTAGTTATATGACGTATATGGTCATCAACACGAAAGTGCTATCAGTAGGTTGAACGTCAGACAAATAAATATTGCTTGGCAATACTTGTCTGAGATGACGGTATTTTTATGTCCTATCTATTAGTCTAAAAGTCTTAAGCAGAATCGCTTTCATCTTAGTATTCCATACTTATGTCTTCAAGTTTTGAATGACGATTACAATTGTTAAGGTTAGAGCAAATTCTAGATCTGTATTTTGTACGTAAGTATTTATTAGAGCAAATAATTCAGTGACGTGGATACATTTTAGGATGTGACACAGAATCCGTTTTACAAATTGTGGGGGCTGGTATTATGTCAAACCCACATAATTTATTTTAGCCTCTGGACAGATAAATCTATTCATTCATCTGAAGCCGCATTTTTACCCTGTCAGTTATTCGCTTATTAATTCTGAATGCTTTTTTATATAAGAGTATGTGTATACATTTCATGTCTTGCTCATCACGTGTTTCTAACTTATTTTTGTGTGACTATAAATATGACTCACCCTTGGTTAGACTGAGATGGCTTATTCGCCTCCATTGAGCGCCATCTTGTGTTGCTTCGCTTTCCAATCAACGATAGTACGAAATATACGTATTGAAAAATACATTCTCGTTTTTGACTTCTTTAATTCCGTTATTCATCAACGCGACTCAAGTCGATGATTATATATGAGAACTGGCGGCATGTATATTTTGATGACAAGCAGAAACGATCTACTTGGAGTCAGATCTCGGGCCACTATATATAGTAGTAGTTTTTAATGTTTAAGTTGGTGATATTCCAGAATTATCTTATTTCTAACTGATCTAAACTAACATCTAACATATACTTCAGTGCTTTCATTGTTCCCTTATTATTTCTTCACATTGTCCTTTACTTATTTTTTGTATGCACTGCATTTTGCTGATAATCATGTCTCTTCTATCTCTTAAACAGACAATTAATAAAAAAATTGTCTGCATTTGTATAGGAGAAGTTGAAAAGATTTCATTGCTTAGGTGTTTTTATCATCTTCATAAAAATTAGTCCAAAGACAGTAGCTGTTTATAAAAGAAACATAACACATATTATTAATATGGTAAATAGTAATCTAATTACTAACAAGATACTATAGACATTTCTTTTTGTTGATAGTTCAGAGAAAAAGAAACTAAAGTTCATTAATACATGACCTCTAGACCATTGAGCCGGGATCTAGAAGTTAAACGTTCACCTCAATGTTGAAGTAAATGACTTTCTGACAGAAAAAACTGAGTAATGATGAATAAAATAGCCCAAATGCTTCAACGTTAGTATTTAGTTATTTTTATGGAATTATTATATCCATATCAGTGTTGTTGGTCGGTGAATAACTTACTGTGCTCAATTTGATTGTATTCACTGCAAAGAAGTCAAATATTGTACAGCATTATTTGTAACTGTGTTAATTGAAAATATAAATGAGAAAACAATTAGCAGCTTAATTGAAACAATTAATTATAGATCTCTTGAGGATTTGAAACGCTTTTGTTGAAGTGGATGACTTATCTGATGTCATAAGTGTCAATTCGAAAGAAATCTTGCAAGTATTTTTTAGTGTACACTACTGAACTCACTCCCAAGTACTTAGAAACTCCTTATCCCAAAATAAACGTATTTAACAAACAGATAGAAATAACTTATCTATCTGTCTCTCTTAAGTGTTTTATTTAAAACTGAAGTCATATGTTGTGTACTCATACGTTTGGTTTTTATGTCATGCACTCACTTCTGTGGAGAATTAACCACTTTTAAGCTCTTCATTCTAGCTGAAAAACATAACTAATTAGTGTTTACTGTAGTTTCGATGAACAAATTGAGTGTGTGATAGCGGCACAAATGTTTCCCATCATTTTTGTTTACATTTTAAAATCATTTGTCTTTATTTCATAAGGTCATAAATTGAAAGCTTTTATAAATTTAGTCTGTTCAATGTCAAATTCACGTCAGTTTTCAATTATACTGTTTTTATTATGGCCAGTTGAATAACGACCGTTTCGTGCTAATCAGTGTTAAATAATCAATCGTGACTTGATTCACAAAATGAAATCGATCACATGATCTTTAATGAAATGGCAAAATTTTGTTTACATTGTGCTTGTATGTTATACTATAGCTAAAATCTACAAAATGATAGGC